CAAACACAGGCACAGCAAGGCAAGACACTCCAGTCCTCATTGCTCCTCTTTCCTCCCTTCTCCAAACTAGTAGATGGACAGATGTTGGAGATTGCTCTGTCCCTTGTGATCACAAACTGGACAGGAAGTTCGGGGTAGTGGAGCTTAGAGATTTGGATTCAGCTGTTCAGAAACATGATGACTAAGTGTTTGGAAATACTTTACTGGGCAGTTTATATTTGTTTCAGCTGGATTGATTATTGAAAAAAAGTTGAGAGTTTAATACAACTGTAAATAATATGAATGGAAACTAGAAAGCCAGAAATCTTTATCTGCATACTCATTGTAAGCCAATTACTTAGAAAGTACTAATGACGGACAGACACCAGATAGAGATCTGCATTAGCAGCTTCCAAACAGGTTTCCTATAAGGCCTAATGTTTAGCCTATCTGCCTTCATTTTTGCTGCATGTGGCTTTGCTTTCATCATCCTTTGTAGTTTCATTTTGGAGTGTACATCCAGACACACGTTTTTTTGTTTTAGATAGAGTGGGGGTTAGAACCCAGATCAGTTTTTATTGCTATCCATGGTTCTTTTAGAGAGAGATCCCCCTCACCTATTGTCATGGTGACAATAGCACTAAAAGAACAGGAAGTGAGTGCAAGTCTGCAACATCATAATGGACAGAAGTAGATAGAAGTCCCTGGTAAAGTATGAGAGGGAAAATTGCTCAAATTGACCCCAGGATAGCAGTAAAGAAAACAGACAGGTCCTAGTCTTGCAAAACTAGAAAAAGAAAAAAGGTTTGGGTTGGACATGCACTTTAAGGAAGTTTGTGTGTGCAAATCAATTTGTACAATATGATAAAAATGTGTCTGCAAAGGTTACTTTCAGTGGAAATCTCATGTAAAAGTTGAAATTTTAACTTTTGCTGCAAAAGTAACACTAGGACTTACCATTGGTCCATGAGGCCACCTATTTCATTAAAATGACCCTGTTGCTAAAATATAAGTGTAAACATGTGAAATGTAAGGAAGGAAGTAAATACCTGTCCTGCTGCTAAACACAAACTGACGTTTTCTCAGAAACTGACATTTCAGAGGATCAATCTCCTGTTTTCCTCACTATACACAGTGGTCCCTCCTGCCAACCATTCGCGTCACTACTGTCTTGTGGTATCACTGAGTGCAGCAGGGGTCCATGAGAGTTACGCTTCCAGAAATTGTGTTTTCTGAAGAGACTTACCTTTTATAACAGAGGCATTTGGCAGCGAAGTTAGTGGGCAAGCAAAGTATTTTTCCATCTTTACAGGTAATGTGTATTTCTACTTGGACCATTAGTGGCAGAGTTGTTTTAAAAGGACTAATAGATATGCTCAGGTGAGGGTGAGAGCCAAGCTCAAATTCTTCAGGAACAATCAAGATTAGAATGTCACTTCTACAGTGTTTTGACATGTGGCTTTTACTCAATGTAAACTCTGCTTCTGTATTTTTTTATTATATGCTTACTTTAAATTGACACGTTTGTAAACTATGGTACCATTTCAGGTACCAGTGCCGATACTTGGCATTTTCATGAGAACTACCTGGGTTGCAGCTGGGACCTGGCTCTGGCACTTCACCACTGTCTGGAAATCATTAGTCTGTATTGTTTTAGAAAAACTGTCACATGACAAAAAATAAAAATGTATCAGTACTTGTATCTGTAAGTACTCGGCAAGTACCAGTACTTGTACTCGCAAAACTGGGATCTGTGCATCCCTTTATTTATATTTATAAAAACAAATCATACATTAATACCGAGATGTACAAATCCCAGGAGCTCCCTGTGCTCCTTACAAATGACAGCTGCCTCCTAACGTTTGGATTTTTCTCTTGTCTAGTCTTGGAGCTCAAAGTATCTGTACTTGGTATTGGTGCATCCCTAACTAAAACCATATTTTCTTCATTTATACAGATAAACTGCTCAGTCCATTCTAAGATAGTATGCCAGTCTTGCAAGGATAAGTCCATATGCCCAACTCTTCCTGTGAGAGTTATTTCATTTAGGGAGAATGCAGCAGGCAGATTGGGAACGTGGTGGAAAGTTAACAGGTACTGACAGATCCGGTCACCAAGAAATATAAGAAGCTACTGCTGGAGTCAGTCCATCGCACACATTACCTTTAAAATAGTACAGTACTTTTTTTTTTTTTTAAGCCCTTTAATTCTACCACATTTTGGTCTTCTACACTGGATCCTGACCTCTAATGGGGGAGCTAAGGCGGAACATCTTCATTTGACAACTGCTAGAAATTGTATAATAGCCTTACCAGTGGTTATGATGCATGCAAGAAATGACAAGACAGTTTTAAAATTAGGAATAATATTTAATTGCCAACATTTTCCAAGTCTAACGTCAGTGCTCAAAATACATTTGTATCTGCTGCTATGCTTACTGTCCAAGTAGATCGAGTCAGAGAACACAACAAAGTGATATGCTTATGATCTCTGTTCATGAAGAGAATCAGACACAATAGAGAAAACAGACAGCAGCTTTCTATGGAAATACACAGATATATTTAAAAAAAAAAAAAAAGACATTTGCAGCTCTGACATTGTTTCCCAAAGCTGTCCTTAAACATCAATAGCAGTGCATGAGATCCACACTTTGGAGGAAACCGCACAGAGGGTCATCCATATAATACATGCTCTGCCTCAGCACATCAGACCGAATGTATACATTAACTCCTTATAGGCTATCCAGTGTAGATCTACACATCATTGTCTATGTATTGCAGCACCAGGATGATAAAATGATGCTGGCTATTTCCCCCCACTATTAATTGTATACACTCTCCATGGAGCAAGAGCACCTGTCAGAAAGTGTACACATGGACACCATAATGCTAGAGCAACATAGGACATCCCTGCCACTAAGAGATTTAACCATTACTTGGCAGTCCCAAATGCTGGTAATAATGGTCAACAAATGAATAAATCTCCCAGCCGCATGACATAAACTGCTTCTGTAATCCTAGACTTAAAATGCTGGGAGCTAAGCACATGAACTTCTAGTTGATGGTTGCTACAGTGATCACCTCACAATGCCCTGTTGTATAAACACTTTTGTCATAAAACTCTGCCCGTCACTGCTCTTTATCCTGCCTGCAGACATTAGATGGTGGCTAGCTGTGCAGCAGAATCTGGCCAAATGATCTAGATAGATTATCCTGCCAACATGCAAGTGTGCATCAGATGGACGTGCATGTTTATGGTTATTGGAGGGCTGCCTGTTTTAAATGCAAATCTATTCTGGTCAATTGTCTGAATGAGGTTGTGAAGGGGTCTACAAACATGAATATTGCCCTATAAAACCATAGAGCTAGAGTCAGAGAACGTTCTCTAATGCCTGTAGAGTACCTTGATTGGTGAGTCTTACACGGTCTTAGAACTTTGTGGTCGTTTGAGGAGGGGAAAGGACATTTTGCCTGGACTAAAGTCGGTCACTAAGAGATAACATGGTGCTCCTAAGCAGCAATATATAAACGAGCATGTATTCTGAAGGTCTGTGATGGGGGATGTCGACAGCTGCTGTCAAAGTGTAGAGAAGTGGGCCCCCAGCTGTTGATGGACAGCAACAGACAAAGCATTGGCATTGTTTAACAACTAATATAACCTGGTAGAAAGGGCTAATTTAGAATATTTGTACAGGAAATGCACTGTACCTAGGAAGAGTTCTTTGTGCCAAGAACAGGCTTGGAAAATACTGAATCAGGAATATGCCAAACGGGCTTCTCTGATAAGGCAGTGTAAAGTGAGGTCACATGTAAAGTACATGAATCCATAGCAACCATACTTTTGGTTTAGACTGCTGGGGGCTACTGTACTTTACATTTACCAGAGAACACAAGCTTGAAGAATAGACCCTGGGCATGATCCAGCAAAACAAATTAAAGATCAATTATCATCCTCCAACACAGACAAGAATAGTTAGACAAAATGTAACCTTGTACAAGTTATCAGTCTTCTTTGTTTACACTTATGCAGCTCAACGTGACAAGTCTGTGACACTACCCTTGCTGAAAGCGCTCCATTCACAAAGAACTCCCAGGACCCTAATGAGCAATAACTTACATAACATACCCTTGTCTGTCTCAGCACTATGAAACACTTTTTGCAGAATAGGTGGAGCTTCTGTATAACATGTTAAGCATACTCCCAACACATGATATATTCATTCCAATGGTTTTCAAGTGAAACTACAATCAAGGCTGAACCGATCATTTCACTTTATAAAATACGGAGAGCCATTTGTCATGTCACCCACCAGAATCATGAATATCCTAAATGGCACTTAAATGTCCATATTAAATATGCAGCCAGGTGCTATATTGTGGTTAAGGATATGAAGAGTAATCGGGCTCCTATATGGCTTCATACGTGACTTTGTGCATCAGCCTAATGTATCCACTGCTGAGATGAACAGGTCGGCCCCAATTTTACATTACTCGTTCGGTGCAGTTGTGGAATGCCAAAAGAAGGTAATATTGAATGTCTTAATAATGCAAATGGAATTTTGTTTGTTTTGTTTATTTGTCTTCTTCTATGTGTATTCATAGAATAAGACAGCTGGGAGGATATTAGACTTCACTACATACCAGTATCATTTTATAGAACAATTAGTGCACCAATCAGAACTGCTATAAGTGGCCACCTAACCTTTTCTTGGTTCCCACTACCAAGCATGTACTTCTGACATCTGGGTAGGCGCACACCTGTGATTGTACAGGGTGAGCTGGAAGATGTCCTCATGGTGACAAAGTTTCAGATACAATGACGTGTTTTAAGTCACATTGCTAATTTTCTAACCTTTGCTACAAAAATGATGGATGGAACCTGATGGTAGCAACACAGACTCGCTTTGTATATGAACCCCACTTGTCTCTACACAACGAAGACTACTTTTCTGAATTTCGTGATGTCACCAGTTTGTTAGTGGAGCATAGTCATTCCCAAAGGTTCTGAATACAAGCAGTTGCAGTCATAGATGGAATAAAAAAAATCTGGCAATTCAGCTAAACAGTACCCAGCTTCACAGCTTTTTCTAATATAGATACAAAGTTACGTAAAACGATTCTAAATACCAATAATCAATTTTACATTGTAAAATATGTCAATTTAGCTCCGCGTATCATTTCTCTGTGAAAGTAAAAGATTGGAAGTAGAAAATAAATGTACCCTCCAAGCAATTTCAAATTTACATGAATAAAAAGGGTAAAACTTCAGTCTGGCCTTTTAAATACTTCAATAACATTATGTACAGATGCATTCTCCTGCTTGCACACAGGGTACGCCTTGGGCATGCTGAAAGATATTCAGTAAAAATGATGCTATATACAATTCTGTACACACGATCCAGTGCAGCTTTTATTTTCCTTCCCAGAAGAGCTGACTGCTTAGAGCAAGATACCTGAGGATTCACAATATCTTCTTCTGCCTCATCACAGTACTGCTTGACTTGTGTTGGTGTCTGCATTTGAATACAAAATTAAATCATAAAACTAGAACTTTTCATAAGAGGTGTTCTGCCTCGAGTCACCGGATAGAATTAAAGCTATGTCCTTTTTCCTTTGACTTCACATGAAGAGCAGAAAGCTTGATGCAGAGAAAGAAGGTACGGTCCGGCTGGAAGAATGAAGTCTTCAATGTGGTGATGAGTCTGCTCCATTAATGGAGTATCTGAAACGAGATACAGAACAGTTACCATACCTCCCATTGGGAAATTGCAGTTCTTTACTAAATCAGAGCTATTACCCAATTTTAAAGGGTTCGTTCACACTATGTGCAGTGACTGGTGTCTATTCGCAACGGGTCATCCGCCCTGAGGTTACCTGGTATCAGCTCTGCTGTGAACGTTAGAATTAAATGTCATTTAAAAAAAAACAAAAAAAACATGCCTTGCATTGTTACAACGCAAGGAACTGCCTCCACCACCACAGAATTGACACCAAGCCCGCCTGCTAAAATTGAGCATTTTAGCATGCAGGTATGTCTGACTGTACCCTTAGACAGGGCTGGGGAACCTCCAGCTGTGGTGAAACTACAACTCCCATGATGCATCTGTCTCCGGGAGTCATGCCTGTGAGAATCTTGCGATGCCTCATGGGATTTGTAGTTTCACCACAGCTGGGGGGCCAGAGGTTCCCCACCCCTGCCTTAAACAATCAGATAATGGCCAAAACACTAAGTATGAGAATTGTGCCATAAAATAAAAAACATTAAAGAAGAAATCCTGTATGAAAAATACTCCGTGCTATACTAATCTCCAAAACAACACCATTTCAATATCATGTTGGCCTTTCTGAAGCAAAGATTGCTTAGTGACTGATGTCCCAGTACAAATATCTAAAATAATAGGATTTTGTCGTATCTGTAAAATGCATTTCTTGGAGTACATTACAGGACATCAGATTCTGAAACAATGAGTTATATTGCAACGTTCAGGAGACTTGGACAATAGCAAAGCTATAAGGACAGCCCAGTATATACTTTTCCACTCGCAGCATGCCTTAGCAAGCAATAACAGGAGTGGATCATAAGGACAGAGGGGAGGAACCCAGTCATTACATTCATTTTACAGGCAAGACAACATTCCTGTTTTGCTACGGAGGTCATAAGCGTGAATGAAAAAAAACACCTAGCAGGCTGTCCTCTTGGAGGACCTTCAGGCATGACAAAAAGACCAAAAAAAAGAGCTTTAGCTGAAAGATAAACTTTAACAGAATGCACATCGAGACGATGAAGGATATTTAGGAGCAGGACAAAGAAATGGTAGACCAATATCTTTATTAAGGTAAAAGGAAGAACCAACCTTAGGGAGAAAAGGGCCCTGTATCTCAAAACAACCTTGTCCTTGTGTAGCACAAGAAAGGGATCTTTATAGGCTAAGGCCACCGACACAGAAACTCGTAGAAGTGATGCCACTGAGAAAAGCAACTTTGCCAGTAAAAATAGACAGAAGAATACCCTAATAGGTTCAAAAGGTAGTTTATGAGAAGTCAACAGAACCAGGTTAAGATCCCATTGAGTCACTGTGGAACATACATGTTCCAGACCCAATGTGTCTGATATGTCCTGGGGCTAGATAGCTGCAAAGGCCAAAAGAGGTTGTCCCCCCCACTTTTGCAAGTAGGGTGCCCCCTCACTGCAAGGAGAGGCTTATGGCAGAACTGGGTTCCCTGCTTGGCCCTAGACTTGGAAACCTGACGAAAACATGGGGTTTGGGGAGGATAAGTGTTGTAATAATGTTTATTAATCGATTATTGAAAAAGTTGACAACTTTTTCAATAATCGATTATAATCGATTATGTCGATTAGTTGTTGCAGCCCTACATTTTTCTATAAAAAATGTAAGTTTTAGAAGGAGTTACTCTTATGTGGTGTCCAATGACTATTTCTTCTTTGATATATAAAAGTTGAACTAGTGAGGACACCTGCCCTATGATTATATGTTATGCATTTATGAATATATTGACCAGCACAGGTGCAGCATCCATTGTATGTGATTTAACTAGCATATAAAGTAGCTTAAAAACATTTGAACTTTAATATTACTTAAAAGGTCTTTGTCAGACAGGAAATAGCTGAGTTCTCAACAGGGACAGGCCACGTTTTTGTAGCAAACTATCCTCAAAGGGTTATTGCTGAGCAAAAGGTTTAGGAGTGAAGAACTTCTAGGGCTGAGGCCAGTCACTGTACAAAACAGGCTGCAAAAGCAAGAGCACAGGGAAGGTTATAGCAGGCAGAGGCATTTTTAGAGGGTCCAGACTGGTGACCTTTGGCAAGGTCAAAGCAGACTGCTCCAAGTCAAGGCACGTGCAAAGTGGTGTCTAAGCATTGGAAATATATTGGGTTTCTCAAGGGCCGAGTCCTCAGAACCAGACAAAGCATCATCCTCCATATCCGAATAGGAAACAGCAGCTGCTATTAGAGACAGAGGCTGGGGGGGAGAGATAGAGGGGGCCATCTTGTGGCCTGTGCAGGCCAAAGATTCCAACAAGGCCGAAAACTGACCCGAACATTCTTACATTGTAGTAAAAAATTCCTCCCTCAACAAACAAGAGAAGTGAGCCACCCTAGAAGGTTTTAAAGAAGTCCCTGAGGAGGGCAGTAAGTCTGGCTGGGGGCAGTCAGGACTTACATTGCCAGGACCATCAGGCAAAACACTGCAGATACCCTTAGAGTTGAACGTGAACTGTACGTGAGACAGGAGGACTGCCAGGGCCACCTCCCTTGCGCCTATGATCTGCCATGGTATAGGTGTAAGAAAACTAGCCTACAGGAACTTAGAATACATTGCAGGGCAGGAGGGGTTTACGCCTCATAGGACAGAGCAGAGAGTCGAGAAGAAATGTCCCAAAGGATCACTGGTGCAGGTGCGAGTGAGCAGTAGGCAGGGGAGGCTGAGCCAGGTCTGCATGTGTGTACCAAAATGACGCCACATATAGTGAGCCCAACCTAGAACGAGGCTTTATAAGCTTACAAAGGGCGCCACACACAGCTTCTACATTAATGTTTTTGTGGCCAGGTCTTCTTTAACGGCTAGATAAGAGGAAGCATTCAGTCCCTGTGTGTCCCAGCAGCATAAAAAAGCTATTTGACACCCAAAGCAATAATAGAGATGAGCACTTAGCTCACCATGTGCTAACCTGAATGTCAACTGCAGTCCTCTTTCACTTCTATTACTCAACTTGATATTACATCTGCATCTTACAGCTGTGTGCATAAAGGCTAACGCTGCTAAGTTTTTTATAACCTTTGTCAGCAGACTAAAGCCTGAGAGTTAGTTCATCTTGAAAATCGCCCCCTATAGTCCCACTGAATCTTAAAAGCTCCCAGACTCTTCTGCCAAGTTGCTCCATACAGTTATGATCATGTATATTTTTACCTCTGAAGTCGCATGAGAAGCTCTGCCACCATTGAGTCAGAGATGCCTGGACAGGCCTCTTCTGCTAAGTAAATTGCTCCATATAGTTCCTCTATGGACCCTACATTGCCACCGGATGCTTGACTCCTCTCTTTTAACTACAAGAAAACAAAAACACAAGAAAGTTATTACACACCAAATCAAATAGCTATAGGGTAAAATGTCAGAAGACCACACATCTTTCTCTTACCTTTCTGGAAAAGATACATGTGTGTAGATGGAATTAAAGCAAATCTGTGCTATGCTCAAGGGGGGTGGAAGGTAAATATATGCTACAGGGCAGGGAGGCATGCATGGGCAAAGCACAGGCCAAGATATCATAAAAATAAAGGACATTTAGGCAGTGCAACTGAGAAATATTTGTAGAAAGCCTGGAAGGGTAGTGAGACTTTAATCTATTTCCACAGATACAGTACTGTGGGTGAATATAACATCTCAGAGTAACAGTGGTGTAAATAGGACTGTACTTATAATAAGCTATTTTATACAGTTTAGAGATAGGTTACCCAGTAATCAGAATTTTGTATAATTAGAGTTAAGACGCTCTTTACATTATCAGACTTTACTGATATGGGCAACGACCTACATGGAACCCAAATATCCATCCATGCCTTCTGTTACTTAAAAGGACAAGGTGCAGACATCTGATTTTCTATCTACATATGTTTGCTGGGCTTCTACAATCATACAGTTCAGATCTGTCATATACAGACTGAACTAGAGCCTCTAAAGATCATAAACCCAGCTCCCAGTGGCATAATCACCATTATCTGGCCGGACATAGCGGCAGCTTCACTTTTCCAGGACTATACATGTCTTTAGTTTCAGATAAACAAACAGCTCTGTGAGCAGAATGTACAGGCAGAGCTGCTGTGGTGAGTTTTTCTAATCCAACAAAGGAGAAAACAAGAAATGTACCAATAATAGAAAATCAGCATTGAGATTACATACCTCATCAAATAAAGGTGTCATAATTGTAGACAAGCACTGTGATTGCGGCCTTTTCTGAATATCTTTCACCTTTCATACAAATAAAAAGAGAACAAATATTAATGCTGGTGTGTAGCAGTCCAGTGAACATTGGTTTTTAGTGTAATAGATCAGTCTCATGTAATAAAAAGACTTATTACATTACAGACGGTCTCTGCAAGAAATGAATGATCAGATCAGTTTGTAGGAGGGACAGTGGACCATACATGTGTGTACTATGTGGCCTTGGGGAGGATTGTTTTAGTGAAGGTGTGCTTTAACCTATTATAATGCACATTACCTTATGGTAAGGCACTGTAGATGTACATTGTGGGATATTAGAATGCAAAATTAACTGCACCCTAACGCACAACTATAGTGCGCTGCGATGCATGTACATTATAGGGCACTGCAACACACAGATGCATACTGTATGTTCTGTGTATTGCCCTGTTCTGAAAAAATATAGGACCTATGTTAGTGTGCATAGAGGTGTACTGACAATCCAGTTATTTTTGTAGGATTATTGAATCCATTACAGCACACTGGGGCATGGTTTGAATGGACCCTAAAGGCTGGAAAATGTGCAAAAATATTTAATACCTTTTTAAAAAAAAAATATGGTCATTAAATATCTGACAAATAAACAGATGTCACTGTAGATGACACTGTAACCTGGAAATGGCAGTGTTCATCTGCAGGCTTCCCCCCCCCTGCAGATGAACACTGCATTCGATCACTATGTCACTGATGGCACAGTGATCACATGTTCAGGAACGACTAATTGGTTCCAATTGTCAGTGAGGAGCCCAGCTGTCAGTGATAGCTCGTGCTGGGGAACGGTAATATACATATTATGGGCAGGAAGGAGTTAAAGAAAACAATATGTACAATTCACTGACATTCACTACCTATAGAAGACCGGAAATAAAACAACATGAAAGGGAAGATTTAGCCTCCCTCTTTGTATGTATAAATGTACCCACGGACATAATATTATCACAATCTCGACCATAATGGGAAATAACCATATATCTATGGGTGACAAAAAGCAGCCCCAGTTTATTACTCTTGGATGATTGTCAATGGAGCAGATTGTTTTTTTTTCCTTTCTGGTTCTTCCCACCCTCCTCTAAAGTACAAACAAGATAAATATGCATTTGTAAAATTGAATTCCCTCACTTCATGTGTATCCGGGTTTTCAAGTCGCATGGCTTCATCCTTCATTTTCTTCAGATCAGTTTCTTGTATTGTAAATATCCACTTCTTAACACTATCAGGTTCGCTTGACTGCTCCTCATCACTGTTCCTTTGTATGAAATAAAAAAAATAAATTTTGTTTTACTTACGATGAGATCCTTTCTTTTAAGAATTCATTACAGGACACAACGTCAGAAGGATTGTGATACAACTGGGTTAAACTGTTGCCTAAGGGAGATAGGACACTGGCAAACAACGCACTTAGTCAGCCAGGTATGACCCCTTTCACTCTCATCATGCTTCAGTTTTGTGGAAAAGAAGTACTGAGAATGGATTATAAATATAATGGTTCATTAAGGGACACAGGGTCAGAAGGATTCTGAGATACCTGGAGGATTCCAAAGCAGGCTGAAGGGTGGGCTACAGCAACAAAACATTAAATAGACCCACAAATAAAACAACATGTTAACACTGGGGAAAGTGGAAGCTCGCAGAACTGCCTGAAGGACCTTATGTCCTAAGCTGGGAACAGAGGAGGCCTGAACATCCACCTTGGAAAAATAAGCGAACTTAGGAACAGTAGACCAGGTGGCAGCCTTGCAAACCTGAGAAACTGCTTAAGAGCCCAATATGCACTTACTGATCTAGTGACTTGTACAGGAAAATGTAGAGCCTTTTATCCTTAAGCCTATAGGCTTGAATCCGGAGTTGCCTAAGCCACTTAGAAATGGTGTATTGAGAGGCAGGTGATCCCTCCAAACAATGGAGGCAAACCTCCTTGGGGTGTACTGGAGCAGGACATAAAGATGGTACAATGTGCTGATTAGGGTTAAATTAAGAAACTACATTAGGGAGAAAATGCCCTAAGCCACAAGACAACCTTGTCTCTTTGCAAGACAAGGCCAATAACTCAAACTCTTCTCGCCAAGGTGATGGCAAGGAGGAAGGCAACCTTGTAAATGTGAGTAGACAGATGAATATCTTTGAAAGGTTTAAAGCACAGCTTTTGAATAGCAGACAGAACTATGTTGAGGTCCTAGGTAGACATACAGTGAGAAATGTGTGAGCACACGCCTGTACTAAGATTTCACCAAGGAATGAAAGGTAAGCGGTCCTTAAAAAAAAAAAATAAGGAGATGAAATTTGACCTTTGAAAGCCCAAATGTTGATCCAGACCAGGCTGGAGAAAGGCCAAGATGTGTCCCACAGAGTATTTCCTGGAATGGAATTTCCTTGCGTCACACCAATGCAAAGAACTGTTTCCAAGTGCTATGATAAACCTTGTGAGAGGTGGATTTACTAGCTTTTAGGAGCGTAGGAATAAAAGAATCAGACAGGCCCTATGTTTCAGTATCTGGGATTCAACAGCCATGCCGTTAAAGCCAGCAACCGTGAAGCAGGGTAGTAAACTAGTCTTTTGGGCAAAAGAGGCGGATGATCTGGGAGAGCACACGGAGAGTCTACCAGGAGCCTGAGTACTGCATCCACATTGGTCAGTTTGGAGTGAAATGTTGATTTTGCAAAGCAAATGAGGGGGGAGCTTCAGAGGAGAAAATGCGTAGATCAGGTTAAGCTGATCTCATGGACTCACTAGAGCATCCACTGATATGGCTAGAGGATTCCTGGACCTGGAGAAAGTCTTGCTCAGTTACTTTCTAAATCTGGAGGAGGTCCACATCCTGCTCTCCCCCCTGACAGAGGTGTTGATAAAACACCTCCAGGAGGTAAAAAAACATTCCTCAGTCAAGATATTGATGATTGAGGAAGTCTAACTGCCAATTTTCCATGTCTGGAACATGCATGGCAGACAGGGCTGGAACATGAGGTTCCACCCAGGCCAGAATCTGGTCGGCTTCTTTTTGAGCTGTGAGACTCCTGGTTCCTCCAGAGCCACCAGGCAAAGGATAACCTGGTCCTAGGCTTCAGGTGCATGCGATTGTGCAGAGAATCATTAGTTGCATAAATCTGGAGTGGAACTGGGCATACAGAACTGCCACGAAGGTGGCAACCATCAAGCCTAGAACTCTAGCACCTGGCAGCCACAAACGCAGTGTTAGAAATGGAGAGTGCCAATGCAGGACATGGGGAACAAAGTCCATTCCAGACAATCTTTGCCCCCACAGGTGGGCATATTGACTAAGCAGACGGGACCCAGACCTTTAAAGCATTCTCCAGTTAGATAACACAGTACACCAGGTGTGCGGATAGCTCCCCAAGCAGAGCCTAGTGCCTAAAGTCACATTACAGGCCTGCCTTGCATCTTCATCATTGCAGGGTCTAGCTACAAGGCTATGCCGAAGATCAGCCTATGTGGAAAAACTGCATAAAAGAGCACTCTTGGCCCTGCAGTAAACAAAAAAATTGTTAAAAAAAAAAAAAAGAACTTGATTAAAAAGTGAAAAGGGTATGCATATAAACATTCTGACAGATAAGATGTTCATTCTTCTAGTACGCTAGCAAAAACAGTAAAGAAAGATGTGGGAAGAGTCCCATCTCCTGTAGGCAACAGTTTAACGCAGTTGTCTCTGAATCCTTCTAATCCTGTATCCCCTAATGAACGTTTAACATAAAATGTAAAGCAATGTAATCTTACCAGACACAGTAAGCCACCAGAGCATGAGAACTGTAAATTTGGTAATTTGGTTTATAAGAAGGTATATTGTGTGTGATCAGAAATAGAAAAGAATATGAGAACTTTATAGTAGCGGCTCAAAGAACTCTGCTACATGTTCTGCTCTCTTAGCAATCTTTATCCATATGAAAACCTACAGTATGTGCCTGTCTGATTCCAATCCATGCACAACAAGTGTCCTCAAAGAATTGAGTTGTTATTCTGAAAGCACTGTTTTTAATTTGTAGATAGCAGTGCCGTCCGTCCGTTTTTTTACTACGGGCGGACGGCAAGAGCTTAATGACCAGCTTGATACCAAAGGGTTGGCGCCAGGTGCCTACATTTAAAAAGGGATCAAAGTTATTAGCTAGTAACTTTAGGCCTGTATGTTTCACTTCTATAATAGGGAAGATACTTGAAGGTTTGAAAAAGGACCACATGCAAAGAGTGTGTACTAGAAAACAAGATCATAAATGATATCCAGCATGGATTCACTAAAGACTGATGTATGAGTAAGCCGGAATGGTGAAATGAGGTTGAGCATATGGGGAGTTAATAAACAGTATGTATTTGCTTCATAAATAGAGATTTTTATTGTTGAAGACCCTTGGAGTGAGGCCTTTTCAGGATTGGATTGCTGTGGGTGACGGTGCGTATGTTTGCATGCACCTGGGATCCAATCGTAGTGCAAGACAATTCTGGAATGTGAGCAGAGTTTGCTGTAGTTTTACATATAGTTTAAGCTTGACCTAATTTACTTAACCACTGCAGATCCTTACTTGTCGGGCAATAAAAATATTAGTCTGACATGCACAGAGATCTACAATATAAGCTCCACATCCCTCACTGAGATGTATTTGTAACGGATTGATTTGTGGCCCCCAATGTTTTGTTCTGGGGTATAAACTTACCCATCGGAGTCAGAGTCAGAACTTTCATTACCCTGCTCCAGCTTCCATCGTTTATACCGATCAATCAGGTCTGTTAAGTATGATGTTTTCTTGGCATTCCGCAAAATATATTTGTGTTTCAGAAGTTCTTTTGCCGTTGGTCTCTGCAACGTATAGATGAAAACGAATTAAATAATAATTATACAGAACTCTTCATTAAAGTAAATGTAAACCCACTTACTAAAACCTCATATAAGCTTAAACCTGTTAGTGTTATTTTAAAAGTTGTTTTTGAACATTTTAGATCTGTAGTTGCATTCAAATTCACTCTTGGCATTGTCCATTAACTAAATGGCCTGAGTGTAGCTGGCATAGTGAAATACTTAGCTTTATACCTGCCCCCAAGTTATTCACTGTGTAGCCCTGCCCAATGTTGCACAGCCAAAATAGGTCTGTAACAACTAATCAGTTAAATCAATTATAAGAATCGTTGTCAACGATTCTCATTATCGATTAGTTGATTATTCGACTAGTTGAATTTGCCTGTGTCCTTTTCAATCCCCGCTGTTCTCTCCCCCCCCCAACATTATATTACAGAATCAGTGCAGGATAGTACCACTAGCTACTATGGAAGTTTGAACTGACATCAGCAGGGTGGATATCCTGAGCACTATCCCTTTCCCCAAAAATCTCCCAGCATGAAAAAAAAAAAAGGAGGAAAGTTTACAAAATACTTGAGAATACTCTGGCTTGGACTGTCCACTGTGATTACCCATGCATACTACACAAATATAAAACAGATTTTAAACTTACAAAGCTTGGCTCTTTATTCAGACAGGCCTCCACAAATTCTTTCAGGAGTTTACTGTAGTTTCCTTCTAATGTGGGAGGGTTGTTTTTGGGAATGTGGAACAACACTTTCATCGGATGCATTTCAGAAAGAGGTGGTTCTCCTTTAGCCAGTTCAATAGCTGTAATGCCCAGTGACCAAATATCAGCCTGTAACAAAACACAAGAGTTAATCCAACAGGTCAAGGAGCTATGCTGTGAGTTTGCATTAAGTGGCACAAAGGAACAGGTCTTCTTTAAGACAGGGTAATTGATTTACACCAATTTCCACATATACCTGCCTAGAGCAGAGCTCCAGTGAAGGTAATCAAAAGAACTGCAGAGACTAATATAAATATAAAAATCTGCAGATATTAAGCATGTTGTACACACTTCAAGGTGGAGAGTCAGCCACACATCCCTGATAAGAAAAAATGTCAGTACATACATACCCAATAGACTGTATTAGGGCTGCAACAACTAATCGACACAATCGATTATTGAAAAAGTTGTCAACTTTTCCAATCATCGATTAATCGGCTTCTGGTTAGTTGGCCCTGTTCATGGCTCAACACACGTTGCGCGCCTTGCCTCCTCCCCACCTCACCGCTGCCAGAGCCGCCCGCATTCACACGCCGCACCTCCTCCCCGCCTCACGCTCACCGCCCTCCCACATCCACGATCGGCACAGAGACGCGGGGATAAGAAGTAAGGAGGAGCAGGTGTGAGGGGATGACAATCGCCGATAGACAGGCCCGATCTCAGAAGCAAGTTGCTGGAAGATTGCTCAGGTAAGCCTGCACTGCCCTCCCCCCCACATGGTGCTCTATAATGTATTGCTGGGATTTGTATTCCTCTATAGCTGATGGCACATTGTGCTATATATTATACAGAGGACTACAAATCCCAGCAATAGTACATTATACTCTGTCTGTATAATGTACTATTGCTGAGAATTGTTGTATCCCTCTATAGCTGCAATACCGAATACCACTAGCTATAGAGGACTATAAAACCCAGCAATAGTACATTATACAGCGCAATGCAGAATACTGCCAGCTATAATGTATTGCTGGCATTTGTTGTATTCCTATATAGCTGGTGGTATTCTGCATTTCGCTGTATAATATTTTTTTGCTGGGATTTGTTGTACTCCTCTGTAGCTGGTGGTATTCTGTATTGTGCTGCATAATGTACTATTGCTGGGATTTGTAGTCCTCTATAGTCGGTGCCATTCTGCATTCATTGCTATATAATTTTACACTTTTCATTTCACTATATTGCACACCACACTTTTTTTTTTCTTATTTAATTCCACCGCTCCAAGCTTGCTCCTGTGATAGACTGCAATCTCAATACAGACTAGTAGTCCATCACTGGAGCCATTTTTTAAAATGTATTTAATTTTTTTACCGATTAATCGAACTCAATAATCGGCTAACTAATCGATTTTGAAAATAATCGTTAGCTGCAGCTCTAGACTGTATTTGATGCAGGGGTAAGCAACCTTGGCACTCTAGCTGTTGTGAAACTACAAGTCCCAAGATGCATTGAAATAACCTGACAGCCACCGGGATGACTCCCAGAGGCATGATGGCATTTGTGGTTTCAGCACAGCGGGAGGGCCAAGGCTGCCGGCCCCTGTAGTAGAGTATCTGATTTGAGGGTGATGCCAGGATTTTTAAATGGGAACTTGCAAGTCGTCTGCATCCAGTACCTATAATTAGACCTAAAGTATATCTAAATCAATTTTTTATATTTTGGACAAAGAAGCGAATGGTTAAAACCCCTAAGGTTTTTTGCCAATTGTGTCCCACTAGTGAGATTTACCTTACTGGCAGTCATGTAGACACAACAGGAAATAAGAGGATATCTCTCCAAAGTGAGGCAAGTCCCTTGTAGACAGTTGGCAACGGAACATGTGTCCCCATTGGAAGATTCTGCCTCTATTCCTTTTTCAGTAATAGGTAATAATATTTAATTTCCTCGACCTTTCAGTCTTGGAGACAATGGGCACCAGAACAAATTTAGAAGATGAATTTCACTAGCAGAGACTCGGAAAGCAAAAAATGGCTCCAAAAAAAAAAAAAAAGAAATAGATGATTATAAACTGCCCAGGTCAACGGCCTGATGTGATTTCCATTGGAATTTTGTAGGGGGATTTGAAATGGGCAGTTTATGAAACCCACAAACATCTTGCAACTGAAGGAATTTTGCATGTAGAAGCAGAGACTGGTGGTTGTTATACAAAATGCCTAGAATAAATCTTTTTTGCCAAAAGGGACAATACCAACCTCTGATGTGAAGAGTGTGCTTACTTTTTCCACAGTAAACCATTACATCTATTGATATTTTTGTAGAATAAATTATTGAAAGACAATTTTGTCTTGTGTTTTCCTTCAAATATATCACCGTTATCTGTAGACACTGTTTGAATGAAGATCTAATGTTTGCCTTTTCAGCAATTTCCATGGCGTTTACTTAATTTTTCGCATGACTGAGTGGCCTATGATAAAGTCATGGACATATTTGTTGGCAAACTTACAGCATATAAAAAAAAAGGATTTCATTCTCCTCAAAAGTGATGAAATTAAAAGTAATTGTCTCATGTAAACTTGAATACCTTTGGTATGTCAGAGTAAAGCAAAGAAAATATGAAACAAAGAATTGTTTGTACCCGTAGCTTAAAAATTATTGTATCATAGTAATTTATGGAACAAATGTTTTCTGTAATTAGTATCACACATGTTATGCCAACCTATTTAAATAGAGAAAAGCAGTCACCCTGGTGGTTGGTATCATCATGTGCACCACAATGAACAAAGACCAGAGAAAGCAAAGCATTACCCGAGGAGATCAGAAAGAAAATTATAGACCAGTATGTCAAAAGTAAAAGGTTATAAGACCAATTTTCAAGCTGTCTGATGTTCCTGTGACTACAGTTACAAATATTAAGAAGTTTAAGGACCATGAGAATTTAGCCAACCTTCCTTTGAATGTGTCTGTAAGAGGAAAATTTACCCCAGACTGAAGAGAAGGATAGTGGCAATGGTAAAAAAAAAGAGCTATGAAAAGCTTCCAAAAAGTGATACAACCTGAATTCCAAGGTGGGGTACATCAGTGTTTGATAGCACCATCCGATAATACTGTCCAAAGCTGCACTCCATAGAGCATTCTGACTAAACAATAAGGGTGCATGTAGTGACAGCAACAGGTAGTGCAGTACACTACAAGCCACAAAGAGAAAAAGGGCACCCAGAATTCAATATGAAGATGAAAGAAAACCAATGTAATTTTTTACATAGTGCCACGTAGGTCATACAGCAAATGTTTCGGGGCCACGCATGGTCCCTTCCTCAAGGCAAAACAGTAGCAATGTGTACAACAATAAGACAAATATATACCAAGCAACACCTAGTGTGAAACACCCCCTTCGGACATCATTATGATGTCATAATCTCGCCAAAAATAAAATGAACAGCGTAATTAATGTGGATCCTGTCCCTGCAGGGCATCCCACTCCGTGTCAACCAGGAAGGAAAAGGTTGAAACATAGCGGTCATATTGGTCAGGTCGTGGAGAAAGCATTCCCATGGGGAGAGTATTCTCCATGATAGAGCCATGACTGAGCATACCCCATTGCTAGTGCAACCCCGGAAGGCATGGGGAGCTCACTGGATAGCTGCTGACTGAAGCAAGGTTGGACAAAGTGTTCAGTGCCTACGTATGGCCATGTGAGCACATGCACCAGGAGGTCGTTTTAGATACCTGTCACGCCTCTGAGCAAGTCAAGCTGCCAGGCAGCTGGTGGGGTGCTAAAAAGCCGCACTGAAAGTGCAAGTCACACCGTCACACACCTGATGATCAAAGAATAAACAAATAGGAACACAAAATACAAAGAACAATGCAGGGCGAAAGGGGAGGGGACAGAATGGGGATGGAGTAACACTAGAGATTGCATAATTGAAATGATGCTGGGGGAATTTCATTCACTCCTTATATATCTGGGAAGATGCTCCCACTAATAATAACTGATAATTAAGAAAATGTGATAGGCAGCACCCAAGGTGGATGTGAGTGTAGGTGTCATCTGTCATTTAAAAAAAAAAAAACAGGTAAAAAGAAAATGTAGTATTGAGGCCCATGGGGCTGACAGTGTCTAATGTGTAGACCCAGAAAGCTTCCCTACTGATTAGGAAGTTGTTGCGATTGCGCCCTCTGAGCAGTATGTGTACCTGCTCGATAACCAAGGCTCCAAAGTTCATGTGCCCGTGTCCCATAATTTTTGTCCATTCTATTTTCATCTGTGTTATTATTTAACATATGCTGTTGAAATAAAAAATGAAATGAAACTCTGATTTTAATTAAATATGGAATAAACAATGATGGATGCCAATTGCTTTTGTCAGCTTGAAGTTATTTCAGAGAAAATTGTGGGTTTTTCGTGGAGGCTGGACGTGGCGGGGAGGAGGAGGCGGGGCCCGGGGGGTCAGGATCAGAGAAGGAGGCGGGGCCGGTGAAGGAGGAGGAGACATGCTCGGCGACAGAGGACGGAGCGGGCCCGGCAAAGGAGGAGGGAAGACGGAGGAAGAAGAGGCGGACAGGTAAGGAGTGTGACCAGCCCACCTGAGGGTGACCCTGCAGAGCCCACCATAGAGAGTCTATGGTGGGCTCTGCAGGGTCACCCTCAGGTGAGCTATGTGGGCTCTTCAAGGGGTGTAACTAGAAATCACAGGGCCCCATACAAAATTTTGCTATGGGGCCCTGTGATTTCTAGTTACGCCCCTGCACTCCTGCATATATAGAGGCAATTAAAAAGTACTTTCTTCTTCTTCTGAAATTGCAGATACATTCTCCTGATTTTATAGTAATGTATATGCCCTGACAGCTGTATTCAGATCACCGCTAGGTAACTATTTAAAACAGATAACACTACCAGTTTTGGAGCTGGAGGATATAAATTACTTTGATGCTCCATTTACAGCAGAGGAGCTGGAAAGAGCATTGGAGATGCACTCCAATAACAGGGCCCCTAGGACCAGTGGTCTCTGCAACAGAAGTATAAAGGACTTACAAAAAAAAGTTATTTTGACATCTTTTTAGATACTATTAATGCATCCTTTGAGCTCAGTTTACTGGCCTCTATGTATGAAATGATACTGGTGACTATATTGAAACAGGCAAACTATACAATGTATCTAGATTCATAGCTAAAATGTTGCCAAATCGCTTGATAGCGGTAAAACATCAAATGAAATACCGCAATCAGACATGTTTTATGCCTAATAAATCTATGGTCCTGGTACACTTTTTAAAAATTACAAATCCCTCCAGATAATACGGTAACTAGAGCATTATTATCTTTAGATGCAGCAAAGGCCTTCGATTGTGCTGAACAGCCTTATTTGTGGGCGGTGAGTAAAAATATTTCATTTATATTTCTGCCCTAAATGTATTAAATAGGTATACTGTACAATATATACGGATCCCTGTATAAGAAGAGCAAATAACTGTCTATCTTCTAATTTTAAATTACATGGCCCTCATCTGGCGTGTCCTTTATCTCCTTTATTAATTACAATAGCTTTTGAACCATTAAGATTTGATGTTCTTTGAATATTAATGTTTTTAAACGGGGTTCTGTGGAGGACAATTCATCTAGATATTCATCTATTTTTAGGTGATATAGACTGCTCTTTAGAACATGGTATGTTATAACTACAATGGACACTTCTGGGTACTTTCAGGATTATTAATAAATTGGAGTAATTGGAGTTAGTCAGTGCTGTTGATGAGCTGATACTCCCCTTACCCAACTCTACTGCTTCCATTACGGTCATTACTTCTTTTAGGGATTATAATCTCTGCTAACCCTAAAACATGCATTTCATTAAACATGGATCCACCTCTTGCTAATTTTTAGTGTAGCTGGTACATACAGGTTATAAAGATGATTCGTATGCCTCGGTTATTATATGTACTTCATAATTCAGTGGTGTGGCTTGCAAAAAGTATACAGGCAGTGTTATAAACTTCTGAGTTACATACGACTCCTACTTACAAACGGAGGTCCCAGACTGTTCCACTAGTTGTAATGCTACCTTGTTCGCACCGACGTTCGTAGTACTATACCCCCTGTACATTACAGGAAGTTGTTAGATGTGCAGACGAGGAGTGCCTGCCTCTTCTTCCAGGTCTGGTACTGTACATTACAGGAAATCGTACAAACATCTGTCCTAGTTGCATTTTACTTTTTTAGTTTTGGTTAGTATGATGTGGGATTAGAGCCCCTGTGAGGACAGCAATACAAATGTTACAGGGGGGTTAACCCTTTCCTATGCTATCCAAAACTAAAAGATGTTTTTTTGGCTGGAGTTAAACCTAAAAAAAGTACCTGTTCCAACTTACATACAAATTCAACTTAAGAACAAACCTACAGTCCCTATCTTGTTCGTAACCCGGGGACTGACTGTATTTGGAATTATTAATAGTATATGTAGAGCTCTTATATGAAGGAAGAAAAACACTATTTTGTAGAGAAACATTACATCCAATTGATGAGGGCGGTATTGCTACCCCCATTTAGCCACGCAGATGCAACATTTTGTGGCTTAGGGTAAGAGGTCTCATTCTCTAGATCAGGGGCGCCCACTATTTTTCGTCTGGAGATCTACTTTTCAAATGACGAGCTCATTGAGATCTACCAACGAAAAAACACCTGCATTCAGGGGCGGGAGGGGGCGTGGCGGTGCATTGAAGTCAATGGCACTGCAGCCAGGCTCCGCAGGCAGGCCCCTCGCCCACAGTGCGATCGCCTGCATTAGTGCCTGTGTTCCAGTCCAGTGCGATCAGCAAAAATGCTGCGAGCACTATTTTTGCAGATCGCACTGGACCGGAATGCAGGCACTAATGTGCCTGTGTTCCGAGTGCGGGCGATCGCAATGTGGGCGATGCCATTGACTTCAATACAGCTCCACACCCCCTCCCGCACCTGAACGCAGGCAGTCGGCCGGCTTACATTCCAGTGCATTCCAGTACATTACAGGTCCCGGCGTACTGTCCTCCCGTGGTGCTCGTGTGGCCGACGTTGCACATGGGGTGTCCTGCACCTTTCCATCTGCAGTGTCTGACACATTCAGCCGCACGAGCACCACGGGAGCATAGCCGTAGCCAGCTCCTTTTGCGCCTGAGGCAAGAAAAAAAACGTTTTTTTAATTTATTATTTTATTTTCATTATTTTTTTTTATTTTTTTTTTTTCGTAATTTTTTTTTTTACTCTTGGGGGGGCTTTGGGGAAATATTAGGGGTCTAAAAAGCCCCCTGATATTTCCCTTTTAAAATAGAAAAAGAAATTGAGGACACAAAGTCCTCAATCTCTTTTTCTGCAGCCTCTATTCTAAATGAATGGAAAGCCAAGAGGCTTCCCATTCATTCAGAAACTATTTACTATCAAGCAGTTTCTGAATGGGGAGGAGCCTCTGTACAGAGTGCTTCTCCCCATTGAGAAACTTATGCATGAACAGGACGTGATGTAAATCACATCCTGTACATTCATTTATAACTGGGGACACATAGTACTATGTGTCCCCAGTTATTTACAAACACTGAAGTGATCAGCCGATCGCTCCAGTGTTTGTCCTGCACAGAGGATTGGTACATACTACTGACATGTACCCATCCTCTGCCGCTCGGCCACGCACAAGGGGGCTCAGCTTCTCCTCTGGATCCCCCTGCTCTCCCGGGCAGAGGCAGCGGGGGATCCGACGAGAAGTGAAAGAGCACTTCAGCCGCGGGGGGCGGAGCCGCTGTGACAGAACGGACGAGCAGTGAGGGGAGATAGAGGCGCCGGCTGTCAGATCCTGGCCGAGCGTCTCTCTCTCCTCACCGCTCTTCATTAGTTCCGTGACAGCGGCTCCGTCCTCCCCCGCAGCCGGTTCCTTCACTTCTTCTCGGATCCCCGCTGGGGAGAGCAGCGGGGATCCAGAGAAGCGGCGGAAGGAAAGGACAGTGCGATCTACCAGTGGTAGATCGCGATCGACCTTGTGGGCACCCCTGCTCTAGATCAATGATTATATACATGTGTGAAAGACAGACGGATCTGTTACAGGCTTCAAAGAATGCTTTTATACCCAGGGTGGAGCCCCATATTCTTCAATTGATGGAGAGAGTATAAAGTGGTTAAAGATCAACTATGGATAAGGGGATATACTAATTTTACCTATACCTAAGCAATGTTTCTATCAGTATCTACAATTACATCATGCAATACATTTTCAAGACAAGATAACGCCAATGATACCCTGCGTAATTTCAGTAACAGAGAAGGTGGTGCTCTGATCGTAAAAAAAAAAAGGTGCTATCTACATAGCATTGTAATTAATGAATCTGATGAACATAGGGAATACAGAAGAAAAGGAATGGTCAGTCTCAATATCAGTCTCTCAGGGGTTGACTCGGTCATATAAGGAACCCCCTATTCCCTTCTACGTGTAGGTCTTTGGAAAGCTCTAACTGTAGTAGATGTGTCCAGTCCCAGGATGATTTTATTATTCTTATTTGGATGTCCTCAGTTGATATTGTTTTCGATATTGGAAATAAGCTGTTAAACATATTAATTTAATTTTTAAAACAAGCATTAAATGTAATCCAAGTAAATGCATTTTTGGGCATCTAGAAGTTTGATGAAACCGCGTAAATTTGAATTTGGGGCATAACAGAACATTGTTTCTTGCTAGAAAATTGATTGCCCAAAAGTGGATGCCGCCACATCCACCGACAGTGAATGGATATACATAGTTAACAAGACTTGGAAATTAGAATAGATCACTTTTCAGCATAAGGGTGCATTTAACAGATCTGGGTGAAATGGCGTTAGGTCCCTGGTTTGGTACCAAACTGGTGAGAATATGATCTTTATTTATCTGAGCAGATGGGATGGGTGAGGATGTGTATTGTTTTAAATATGTTGGGTTTAGTTGGATTTTACAGGTTTTTTTTTATGTGGTTTTGTTTTCTAATGTGATGTCTGACTTTTTGGTACTGTGTCTGTTAAACAGTTTTACAACAAATAAATTATGATAAAAAAAAGCAATGCCAAGATATTTTTTTGCTTACAGCTTAATGCCATGTTTTTTTGATTGCACACTTAATATTCAACTAAATGTCAAAAGTTGGCTTTCTGATTTGTTTGTTAGAATATGCAATAAAGAGTTAAGGACCCTGATTTTGAACTGTGAAAGGAATCTGTGCTGGATTCAGATAGGAAATGTATTGAATGCTTTTGGTAGAAAGCAGTGGTGTACACAGAAGTTGTTCTACAGGTTTGCCCATCATCATTATTCATGAAGTCTTTACCTCAGAACACAAGCAGATCAGCCCTTAAATGGAACACAAGCTAATTGTGTAGAGACAGTGATTCATTATTCATAGCATGACTTGTGATCTTTAATTAACATCAAGCACAAGAAAAAAGGACAGATACGCTGTTTCCTTACCTTAAAGTCGTACGCCGATTGCTTTATCACCTCTGGTGCCATCCAAAAAGGGGTGCCCACAAAAGTATTTCTCTTAATCTGTGTATCTGTAAGCTGCCCAGCGACACCAAAGTCAGCCAGCTTAACATCGCCATTTTCAGACAGTAACACGTTGGCAGCTGAGAAATAAAACACCATCTAAGTAATGAAATTACTTTTTTTTCCTGAAACTATATATTGGTCATGCCAAAGCTAGGCTTTTACCTTTAATGTCTCTGTGGATCTTCTTTTCTGAATGCAAATAATCAAGTCCTTTTAGTATTTCCCTTAATATTGTGGCAATCTGTGTTTCATCTAGGTGACCAGGCTCCAGCTGACATAGAACAATAGACAAAAATCAATCAATCATTTGGTGGGGGGGGGGGTTGGGAAATATTCTTGGCATGAAATAGCATAAGAGCAAAATGCTGTTCCTACACTACTGCTTATGTATTTATAATACCCATATAACAAGCAATGAAGAAGCTATGTGTTGCCAACATTTTACACAGTTTGGAATTCCATCATGTTTTAGTTGACAGTCCCAGCTTTCTAAAGTTGTGCACCATGATTTAATCACATTTCTAAAATATTTAGATTTATTTGATATTCCCATCATGTCTATTATCATGAACTGTTTGAAGGGGTCCAATCAAAGAGAAACAACTGCACATACTGGAAAATTACCAGTAGTGGGCTTTTAATTGAAAATTAGTGATGCTTTCATATGTAATAGGCTGCGTACACACACACACACACACGCACACACACACACCACCCAGATAGTTCACATTTGTTTCCTTGCCATGACACCTTTAATTTATGTTACTTGTATAAATACTGCATATAGATATTTCATATTTGCACATCCATCCAGGTGACTCTTCCCCCCTCCTGCTCCCCAATCGTCTATGCCTGCTCAAAGTTTTTTTGAATTCCAATAAGAGATCATGAAAGAAAACAGCTACTGCTGAAACAAAATGTTCTGTGTCAGTTATCTGCCCTGTATTTACTTTTTACATTTTCCCAAAACATTTGTCCCAAACAATAGTTTCCTTTAACCCTGACAGAGCAAACCTGACTCTAGAGACCTAAAGAAATACTGTTTGCCTGAAAAAGGGACCAAGCGGTTCCGAAACGTCGCTATGATGTCACACTACAGAGGTCAATAAATAATGACTGCAAATCAAGCTGTAGTGCGAGTGACTTTTTCTTCATTTCAAAAATGGCTTGGCCAGCTGATTTGAAAAATGTTCCGGAGGGCTTGGCAGCGAAAGGGTTAAAGGGACTATTAATGGGTAGCCGAAAAACTAAAATAGTTATGTCTGTCGAGAACACATTGCTCCTGACCCCATCCTAAACCAAAAGCCTAGGTACCTGGTCATGTGATCTCTGCTCAGGAGAGTGGGAAGCGTAAAGCAGCATTCACTCCAGGTAAGGCAAGTATTTACTTATTTGCCTAAGTTAACTTAGAAAAGGTATAATAAATTGGATTTACTATCAAGCTATCCCACAGAAAGATACTACGGCCTAATAATTTACAGAAACAAGCACAGCTAAAGTCAAGATTGATAGCAAAGGTGTGCGTAGTTATGGAGTCTGCTCACAGTTTTGTTTTTTTATTACTAAGTCAATCCTTCCACACCACTGGTTTTATGCATAGAATATGCTTGTAGGAGAGTTAATGATCAAACTAATGTGAACTATTAGAGGCAAACACTAATCGGAGATGGAACATTAAATCAGAAAAATGCATTTGCCTTCTTGTATGGGCAGCAAAGCCATTAAGGAAAGACATTCAGCTGACCAGACAATGGCTGAGTACTGGCCTTCCTGAAGTGCATCTAGACCAAAAAAAACATTAGTTGGCTGTATTAGTTGCATTAGTTTTAGTTAGGCTTTTTTCCTTTTTTTTCACCTGCTACTACTGCACTGATGCCCCTTTGTATCTACAACATCTATAGAAGGAGCCATAGTTGTTGCAAAGGCTGGATTTCAAGTATGTCTGCCTTTCTAAGTGCCGTCCAGCTGAAAGGATCAGGTCAATATAACTTTTTTTTTATTTTCCTTCCTAGGCACAAGCAAGCAGTTAATCCTTGCAGTGCAGGGGTAGCCCCGCTGCAAGGGTTATGAGTAACTGTACCCAGAGTTCTGCTTTAACCACTTGCCGTACGCATACAAAACGGCCGGACGGGAGCTTCCTATATGCGGGTGGGCATTTTAAAACGTCCTTTACCCGGGTGTGCACGAGCAGGGAACTGTCATCATTTGAAACTATCAGCAATGGAACGCTTGTATGTAAACAGCCAACGGCTATAGAGCCTTCCGATCACTTGTATTTTGTGCTGCTCCTTGGGCCCCCCATCCGTTGTCACCGATCCCGGGCTCCACTGTGCCACGGGACCAGCACAGCAGCTCTGTGAACGGAGATCGGAGGGGAATCAGTACACAATCTCCCTCTGATCTCCCCGGCGGTCTCTGAATGCAGGAGTGATGAATATTACATCACTTCCACATTCAGCTGTCATTCTCTGGCTACAGAAGCTGGAGAGAAGCTGGTGAAGCAGGTCTCTACTTCAGCTTCTTTGGGGTCCCCAGGTGACATTAGGGCTCTAAAAGACCCCTGATGTCTCCATAAAAAGGACCTGTCACTGTATGTGTGCTATTACACCAGAGGGCCTCTATGTGATAACAATAAAGTGTAAAAAAAACAAAAAGTGTAAAGTTCGGAGTGCAAACAATAATTTTAGGACCATCAATCACTGTTAACACTAAACTGATAAGCGGTAAAAGCTTTTAAATGTCGCCTATGGTCAATTTTGGGTATGTTTTTATATGATTTTGCGGGCGTGCATTTTTAAGGCTTGACATGTTTGGTGTCTATTTAACTGACCTCGTCTTTTATATTTTACCCAAAAAATTGGGTAATAAATGTTTTATAACATAACGTAGGGAAAACAGTTTTCTTTTTAATTTTCGGGACTTTTTTCTTTATACAGTAAAAAAAAAAAAAAAAAACCCCAGTGGTGATTAAATACCACCCATGTAAAGCTAGCTCTATCTGTCCCCAAAAAATGGTATAATATTCATTTCAGTACAGCGTTGCATGACGGGAAAAATGTCAGTCAAAGTACCGCAGCGCTAAATACTGAAAAATGGCCTGGACTGGAAGGAGGTTTGACCCCCCCCCCCGGTCATCAAGTGGTTAATTCAAATAATCAGCTATAGTTACAGTCTGCAGGAAACCTGCATTTTGAAAGGATGAAAATAATTCTTCTAAGAAGAACTGAATTAAAAAAGATGGTAATCTTTTTTAATAAAATGTAATAAAATGTAATTATACACACCAGATCCAAAGCAGATCCTCCTCCGAGGTATTCCATTATAATCCATAATTTGGTGTCCTACAAAAACAATCCAAATTTAATATCATCTGCAATATGCATTATTTCAGTCTTAATTTATGCCACATTTCATAGACGTTAATTTCATGTAATTAGAATGCTACAGTAATTGCATGATTAAGCATGCTCATCTTTCATTTCTTTGCAGTGACACAAGTCTCAGAAACTGCCCTGCTTAAAGGAGCTGCCCAAGCAGCAGAAAAGTATAAATACATAAAGGACATTTTTAAGGGTCACCATCTTAGCAAGACATGCATGTTTACTTAAATTGACACTAAACTCAGGAGTTAAATCTTAAAAATGCATTCAAGTACCTTAACTATTAACAAAAATGTATCTTATTTGTGTATCACTCGGCTGTAGATCCTCAAATCATCTCTGAATTGGTGCTGACACTGTCCTTCCTTCTGGAGGGGGGCTACTTTTGTTCCCCATGGCCCGTGTGTGTTGTAAAGTAGCCAGCACTCCGAGCTTACTCACGTATAGTTTACTAATTTGTATTGAGACTATAGTCCATCACGGGAGTGAGCTTGGAGGAGCGGTGGCATTTTTAAGGTTTAATTCCTGAGTTTAGTGTCACTTTACAGATCCAAATTTAACAGAGCACTCCATACCCGTCAACCACCAGGCCCACAAAGAAAAGGCAGCTTCACATGGAATGAAGGACATTGCAGAGGCACCATGGGCTATGGACAGAAAAGAGCCACGGAGAGAGGGTGGCAGTTGGCTTCTCTGGAAACACAATACATCAAGCCTTTTGTTCTGTGCTTAGAAGAGCCAGCTAAGGTGACCTAAATAAAGTGAGCATAAATGTTTCACCTGTAAAAAGCAGGTTGCACTGCTTTCCTTTTTGAAGTCAAGTGACCTGAAGCCACTGTAGCATGTACAACAGTGCTGAAAGCTGGATATTCTTCAAAGCAAATTAAGACTCTGCAGGGGTTAGAAGCCAAGAACCAGAGCTGAATGTCAAATGATCTAACATTTCGGCTACCTATTACATGACCTAATACAAGAGTTGATTTCCATTACCTTACCTCCCTATTGTGGTCTTGATTAAAAAAGGCAGATTTCACTTAAAAGGTTATGCCTACGTTGATGAACAAGTGAAAGCACCTATTCCTCTTTATTGATTAAATGCCAAAATCCTGTACATCACAGCAACAAGATGCTAACGCGTTTCGGCTACACAAGCCTTAGCCATAGCTATGTTAATGAGCAACTGCTTGTTTCTATAGGGCCACTATATACTACCTATGTCTTACTATTTCTTTTCTGACAATTACAGATGGGTCATATAACTATTGTAGGTGTCCAGCCACAACTGTATTTAAAAGGGACGCAAAATTTATCCTTGCAGTGAGGCTACCCCTATACTGCAAGGGTCAACTGCTTGTTTTGGTCTACGGACTAGATGAAAAGATATACTCACTTGATCCTGCCTGGCTGCTAGAATGGTCCCTGCAGCCTCTTCTCCCCCGGGCTCCAGCAGCCTAATCCCCACTGACATCATCACGTCTAATACAGGTCCAGTCACCTGCATTAGATGTGCGGATGCTGAGGGACATTCCACAGCCAGAATGGAGGAGTAGAAAGGTGAGCACTGACTCATGAAGGACTGAGGATCAGGTGAATATATCTTCTGTATTCCAGCCCCTAGACCAAAACGAGCAACTAACCCTTGCAGTGTAGGGGTAGCCGCACTGCAAGGGTTAATTTTGTTAATTCCTGAAGTTGTTCTTTAAATGTTTTTTCTTATGACAACATTACTAAGCTTTAGGGAACACATTTTTCTGTCATGTTAGGATCATGTCAGATTAGGAGAAGGACAATAGAAATAATTGTACTATGTCCACATACACAGTCATCGTACATGTTCCATCAACCCTGCCTTGAATCAGAACGGATATTTATGACCTCTACATGACAAGATTAAATCTAAAATAATATTTTCTGCCCTATAAAAAAAATTGATAACATTTGAGTTGGAAATGAATGTAATATGTATGTGGTAACTGAACAATATTTAAGCTTCAACTGCGCTGGGAGTTGCACAATAAATTGACCCTATCAGGGTGGTCATGGCAGCACCTCTTTTTCTGTGTTGCAGGCTCTAGGGCCCTCAACATGTTTCAGTCTCTGACCCTAAACAGACATCTCTGTATAATCTATATTTATAACAGGTTCTTTCAAAGCCAATGATCACAATGTAAAAAAAGCATGTGTCATATCAAGTAATACTGTGACCCTAACATATTATAAGAAGACTGGTCCAGGGGCATCTGTCCCCGCCTCCCTTCCTTTTAGCCACTTGGGTGATCTGAAAAAGCTTTGGCTACTGAACTCTGTATCATCCATTACAAATGTAGCATGAGTCTATAAGTATGAGCTTTTTTTTTTTTTAATGGCATGACTGCGTTCCTACCAAAAAATAATGATTTGTTGTTTTCAGTTGATATAACTGATGGTGTTTCATCTGGGTATCTGTGCTTTTCGATTGATTCACAGACATACTGTTTTTTTTGATTGTTGAGAAGTTACTCAATGGGCTCCTTTATAAGCAGCCAAGTAGCCTGTTGTTTCCAAATTGACATGCCTCACAGAGTTCTATAAATACAAACCTGAGGCCCAATAAAATTCCATGAATTCATTTTATTAGCTATGGTTTTTAAAGCAAGGGAAAGCTATGCAGCAACACCCTGGAAATGACAGGTCACAGTGATGCCTCCACCCATGCCGTCACATTTCAGTCACACCTTTGTACATTTACTTCATCACTGGCTTATTACTGATGTCTTCCCTTTTGTTTCTCTCTTATCTCAACAGACAAACAGCGGTTTGCAGCTTTGTTTAAAATAAAAATGGAATGTTACTTGCAACAGGAATTGTAATCTATCTGCCCAGTTACTGCACCTGATTTTGGTCACAAATACTCTTTACAACTGTCTCGTATTTAAAGTACAAGTTTATGTTGACACAAAAATCCCCCCAAGCCCCCTCCCCATACATCAGATTGATCACATCTCCCGTGCAGGTCTGTACTAGCCTTGTCTAATGGCTGCAGCCTCCTATACTAAATGTGTAAACATTTGATTATAGTCCGCCCGTGTCTAAGCAATAATTGTCCAAAGACTTGAATGGAATGTTGCTCCTGCAGTATGAGAACGGCCCATTTAAGTATATGGGATGTGTTTTGCTTTGCTACAGATTCCTTTTAACTTGCAGGGAGTTTGGGAGGCAGTGTGAGGTCTGGACCTGAAATTGAAGCTACATAGATACTCAGCCCCAACCTCCCTGATGCTGGCGACGTACACTGTACGTCGTCAGTCACGAAGGGGTTAAAGATGCAGCGTATCTAAACCAAAAATGTAATATATTGCAGACTATCAGTTAGATGTGGTGGCTGCATCAGTTTTCCTTTTTTCAGACTAGAAATATTTTCAACAAGTAGACAAAATGCTTGTTGATTTTGCCCGAAATGAACTTTCCTTGTCGTTTCCTGGGAGCTGAAAAGACAGTCTTATCTTTATTTTGTAAACTACCAATCCCAAGAATCAAACATATAATGGAGATATATAAAGGCAGACATGTTTAACCAGTTGAAGTCCACGGTGTTAACCCCCTTCCCATCCAGGCCATTTTTCAGTATTCAGCGCTGCGGTACTTTGACTGACATTTATTCCGTCATGCAACGCTGTACTGAAATTAATTTTATACCATTTTTTAGGGACAGATAGAGCTTTCTTTTGGTGGTATTTAATCACTACTGCGGGGTTTTTTAAAACTATATTAAGGAAAAATTACCGAATATTTTTTAAAAAAAACCTGTTTCCCCTATATTAAATGATAAAACATTTATTATTACCCAATTTCTTGGTAAAATATAAAAGGCGGGGTCACTAGGGGGCGCGCGCAAGCAGAAAAAAAATGCCGTCTGGAGACAGCAACCTGCCAATGCGACTGTGCTGTCTGTCCGTTTTTTTGCAACGGGCGGACCGCAACTGGTTACGGTCCAGTATTACTCCAGTAGAGAAATAAGTGTAGCCAGGAAGGTACAGAAGTGTGTTAACCAAAGGATTACAAGGTAAACAAAAGAAAAAATAAGTCTAAAAAAATAAAACTAATGCAGCCTCCACATCGAAGGACATCTAAGGAACTGAGGTAATCCATCTGCCAATTTTCAAGGCCTGGATTGTGCAGTGTCATTATCATCTGCTGAACGTTAAACACCAGGTTCAGGGCTACCCAAGGACAGAAGCACCCTGTGGCTAACAGCCCACACTGCTCTAGGTGCCAAATGTAGGGTCCAGTGAAAAAGTAGCCATACAAAGTCCACTCACTTATATTTATAGCAGCAAAAAGCTGATTCATTAGTCTGATGAGCCAGAAGAAAGGACTGGCGTTGCACTTGCATATTACTTAGCAAGCATGCAACCAAAAAAAACAAAAAAGATCAATACAAATGTGTAATGCGATAAATTCTGCTGATTCATCCACTGAAATGTTTAGTAAAATAAAATAATTTAAAAAAAAATCGAAAAAAAAAAAAAATCGAAGAAAAAACACTTTACATAAATTTTGAATAAACTGTTAAAAAAGCTGAAGTCCAAATTTTAAGGCTCCCATCTAGATAGTTCCACAACTAATAAAAGAACGCCAACAACCCTGCAATTTCAATCGTCGATTTTAATCGACTAAATCGATTAACTGTTGCAGCTCTAAACCTTTCCCTCAAAGAGATGATCTATGATGTCTGTAGATGCCAACATGCCACTGCAAAGGACTTCACCTTTTTCTCTTTTACCCATAATTCTTACTCCAGAATAGATTTATTCCTAGTCGACAGATGGCTCTTGCAGAAAGTCATTGACTCCATAAAATCAATGATATCACATGGTCAAACCATGCTTCTATCTCCTTTTCCGTTGCAGAGGACATCACTCTACTTTCTTACCTTGGTTGCAATAACGCAAATCTTAGGAACACAACTAAAAATACTTCAC